CCCCAAAACCCCAAAACCCCAAAACCCCAAAACCCCAAAACCCCAAAACCCCAAATACATTGTGGAATTGAAATAAGTTGAGAGTTGCTAAGAATGATGCTTGTGGATGGGTGGCAGCTTGAACTCGTCTGTCTCCGACTCCTTCTTAAACCTCTTCTTGAACCCTCTCGATGCTGTCTCTCGCGACCCCACTTCGCTCCGCTTGGTCTGCACCTTGATGTTGTTCAAAATCCGGTTGAGCGTCTCAGTGGTGTCTGACTCCACTTTGCGGTCCTGAAGCAGCTCCAACGCAGCTGGATGCTCGGGAGTGTAGTCTGTGATGTACGGCTGCAGCTGCTTCAGCAACACCAAGATCAGTGCAATCTTGTCTTTGGCTTCGAGGTCTTTGATCGGGACTTTGGCTTCCTTGATCTCGTCCAGGTTCAAATGCATGTCTTGGTCAGTCGAAAGCACTTGTTCCGAAGAGTTGAGCAAGTCGTCTAGATAGTCCGTGAGCAGCAACACAGTCCTCCTGTATTTCTCTCTGGACTGGCTCAGCTTATCGTACAGAATCAGGTAGCGCTTCTTGATTCCCTCGTACTTGCTCTGGGTGTTTTCTAGTCGCTTCTGGATTTCGTCAAGCTTGGTTTCCAAGAAGCCGATGAGTTCTTCCTTCTTGGTGCCATCCCACTTGTCGTCAATCTTCGATTTGGGCTTGCCATGCTTGTTTTTCTTGCTGTTTGCGATTTCTTCGTTCAGGTCTTTGAGCTTCTGTCTGAGTTTATTTTATTACTTTTTGACAGAAATGCGACCTCTTTGCCAACTCGTTCTCGACCTGTTTGTGGATCTCGATGTCTTTCTTCAGAGCAACGATCTGCTCACTCATCTTGTTGTTTTTGTACAGAAGCGTCTCTGTCTGCTTTGACTGGAACTCCAACTCAGAAGTCAACTGGTGGTTCTGCTGAATCGTCAGCTTAGTCGTATTCTGCAACTCCGCATCGTTGAGTGACAACAGTTCGGCCTTGGTCTCTTTGATCTGGAACAGCATGTCTTTTCTGAGCTTCTCAATGGCTTGATGCTTTTCTTCTTCTTTTTCAGCAAGCTCCATTTCGTGCTCCTGCCTTTCTTTCTCGAGGCGTTCCTTGAGTTTTTCAATGTGTTCTTCAATTTCTTCGCGCTTATCTTCGAACTGGCTGCACTCTTCAAGCTTCTGGTCGAGCCTCTCCATTTCCTTTTCGTTCTCTTTGATCTGCTTGTCGTACTCGGCCTCTTGTGCCTGGGTGGTCATCATAAGGTTTTTGTGCTTTTCCTTGTCAAGCTCCTTGATGTCGTTGTTGAGTTCGAAGATTTCTTTTTCCATGTTCTTGATGTTTCCCTGTAAATCGTCAATACGCTTGTTATAAACTTCTTTCTCCTCTTTTATTCTTGCCTTTAAGGTTTGGTTATTTTAAGTTGAATTCTTTGTTTTCGTTATCAAGTTTTTGGATCAGACGGATAGAATTGTGTTCATAAAGCAGAAGAGTCATTGGGTCTTTATTATCGTTTTGCTCCATTAACTTCTTCTTTTGCTCTTCGAGTTCTTCGTTAGTTTCTTCCATTGATATTTATTATTATTTTCAAATTTTATTTTACATAAAGGGGTTTTGGGGTTTTGGGGTTTTGGGGTTTTGGGG